AAACTTGTAGTCCAGAAGGATTTGGAGAGATAATTAGTTTTATCACCATGTTGAATGTCAATGTGTGTCTGAAACTCATGTAATATTAATGTAGCAGGAATTATTTCAAGACAGTTATAATTACTGAGGTTTACGATGATTGTTTAAAAATCCCCTGTTTAACACAAAATTTGAATAAATACAGACTTTATTTTTGACTGACTAAAGAAGAAAACGATTTTGAATGTAAAAATTATTATATCAAAACATCTTTATCAACAGCTTGAAGTTAAACATGCATTATGCAAGAGCTAAATCTTCCTATTGCAGGTCTTTCTTTAGGCATGATAAGTGAAATAATAAGCTATTAATTAGACATTTATTAATATGAAAAGACCTAAATCAACTCTCGATGCTATCTTATGTGTCGTATTTTCACTGGATTTGTATCTGATTTGCTGCTCAAAGCTCAATTATGATGAAATGGATAATCAAGACTTTGTTTTTTATCGTACCAACTTTAGTAATGATGATCGAGGCTAGGCTTAAAATTCAATCGCTAAAATCTTGGTTCAGAGTGGATCAATTTTCAGCATATTCCCTTTATATTATCTAGTTCTTAACTATTATAGTGAGAACTGTCAGCTCTTTATCTAATCTCCCATAATGACCCTTTAAAAAGTTTAAGTTAAAAAGAATTTTCGTCTGTTAAAATCAACGCGTATAGTGGTTTCTATTTGTTTAATATTTTATCTTCTATTAAATATTCAATAGTTGCAGACGGGTTGTCGAGTACAAGCTTTGCTTTAATAAACCTGCACTGAATCAAGTGATAAGAGAACAAATATAGTGGCCGCTTTCACGCCAGACTTGTTATTGTCGAGTTATGGACGAACGGAAGGATACCAGGCTTAAGGATAAGATGTAATATTTGTTTTCATAACTACTCATAATAGCCCTGCAGCAAAGTTTTATTCTATTTTTGGTTAAATCCGAAGACGACATATTGACGTAGAATTTTGTGAGTAAGTTGAAGACGATGTGTAAATATAGTATTGTAAGACGTTTCTGTTTAGTGTATTAGAACTAATTTGGTGGCTTTTTCAATTTCTCGATTGTACATGTAAAGGAGTAAAGTCGTCTGTCCAACCTCGTGGGTTTTCTCTGGGTTCTATGGTTTCCTCCCGCTGAAGATCCCTACGTGCAAGCGAATTATTGAAATAAAATTAAACCATAGGTTAGTCCCAAAATGACCTGATTTGAGTCGAGTGGACGTTAAACCGCATTTCTCTCTTTCACTAGTTCGGTGGCTCGATGAGTAAAACGTTGGTTTGCTAACCTGGGGATCCCGTGTTCGATCTCAGGATTTTCTTGCATGGTTCCACCTTGTCTGTGGTAGACATTGGTGTGCACGTAAAAGAATCCTTGACAGTTGAAATTCGATATAAGAGTAGACCATAGCGCCGCTGCCCACCAAGATTTTCCTCATAGCACACTGTATTGAATATACCGATCTTCATTAGTCCAGTCAGATGAGAACATTAAACCCATTTCATTTGATTTCATCTATTTAGAGACATTGCTTGGCTTAATCAGCTATTGATTCTAGTGTAGAAATCAAATTGTCTGAAGAACAACACCAATGATTTCAAATTAATCATGTTCTAGAATTCATCAGTTGGTTTCAAAGCCGTTTATCTTCACATCCCAAATTGAAGAATTATTTATGAATGTGCTATTTGTCTTTAAGGAGTAAGTTAAGGCTTTGATACCGTTCTTTAAGGAGTAAGTTAAGGCTTTGATACCGTTCTTTAAGGAGTAAGTTAAGGCTTTGATACCGTTCTTTAAGGAGTAAGTTAAGGCTTTGATACCGTTCTTTAAGGAGTAAGTTAAGGCTTTGATACCGATCTTTAAGGAGTAAGTTAAGGCTTTGATACCGTTCTTTAAGGAGTAAGTTAAGGCTTTGATACCGTTCTTTAAGGAGTAAGTTAAGGCTTTGATACCAAACTTTAAAGACAAAGTTAAAGCTTTGATACCAAAGTTGGAATTCGATATAAGAGTACGCAATAGTGCTGTTGCCCGGGCAAAATTTTCCACATACCACATAGTATGGCGTATGCCCGTCTTCATTAGCCTAGTCGGAGCAGAACAGTAGGACATTAAACCCCATTTCATTTCATTTCTCCATAAACTAGGTAATAGCTAGTCGGTGTAAATTATTTTGATTAATTTAGAAATTCTGGCGACTAATCCAAATACAGGTACACACAATCTAAACTATTATAGTTCAATCGTAATGAGATTGTTGAAATGCCAGACACAGATGAAAGAGCTTTTATGTTTAATGTGCTAACAATTCCATCCCTAACGTCCAAACAAATATCTTGAATTTCTTACGGAGAGTAAATTTGATGGACTACCACCTAGTAGGAAAAGTCGCGATGCTAACAGGATGGACAAATACTGAAATGGAGCGTTAAAAAGCGTTTAGTAATGTTTTGAAGTCGTGGCGTATTTACACTAGATTCTATGGACTATTTACTGAACAATCATCGCAGAAGTCAAAATACACCGATTGTTTCAATACTCAATTTGTGTTCCGCCACCTTTAAAAGAAATTCCAATGAAAGTTGTGATGACATAAGTTTCTATTATAAGTACCGTGCTACTCTTTTCATCAAATATGGGTGTGAAGTTATTCTGTGTGACGTGTCAACACTATTCAATCTTGTTAACAAGATAAATATTAACAGTTTAAGATGGTGTCACGTCAGGATGTGATATTTTGGTTGAAATATGAATTTTATGTTTATTTAGTTGATAGATTTTATTGTTAGAAGATACGGGGTTCGCTGGTATGAATATGTGGTTTACAAATGGGTACGTTGTCGGCAACATCTGCTTGCTATGATCAGGGGCCTGTTTCAAGAAATTTTAACTGAGATAAAATCCAGATTTTAGTAATTTGATTGGATAATATTAGATTGATTTTAGTGCTTAGCCAATCAAAATTGAAGTATCTACTAAAATTTGGATTTTATCTTTAGTTAAGATTTCGAGAGAAACAGGGCCCAGGTCTGTTGCAGTTACTAGGACACAGGAATGCATTTTATTGATCTGATATATCAATTTGTTGTTTATTGCTTACAATGTCAGTGTAGTTTGTGAGTTGTCCGCAGGTTTGTCTTTTCAGTTTTGCTTGTGTGAAGTGCAGTCCTCCTATACTTATTATCAGGATAGATATTTTAGACAAGTTAACGATTTAGTATTTTTCGGATAATATCTTTTATTCGTGGGTTAATCAAAGCTAAAAGTGTAACTCTATTTGATCATTTAATTAAGAAAAAAATCAAAATAACCAAGGTGGATTTATCCCCCGTCTTGGATTCAGTGTGAGGCCCATCAAAAGAGTTCAGTAAAATTCAAAGGTGGTGCTGGTTTGTGGTGGCTTTTTCATCTGAAGGTGGTGTTGGTTTGAGGCGACTATATCATCTGAAAGTGGTGCTGCTTTGAGGTGACTATATCATCCGAAAGTGGTGTTGGTTTGTGGTGACTATTTCATCTGAAGGTGGTGTTGGTTTGTGGTGACTATATCATCTGAAAGTGGTGTTGGTTTGTGGTGACTATTTCATCTGAAGGTGGTGTTGGTTTGTGGTGAGTATTTCATCTGAAGGTGGTGTTGGTTTGTGGTGACTATTTCATCTGAAGGTGGTGTTGGTTTGTGGTGACTATATCATCTGAAAGTGGTGTTGGTTTGTGGTGACTATTTCATCTGAAGGTGGTGTTGGTTTGTGGTGACTATTTCATCTGAAGGTGGTGTTGGTTTGTGGTGACTATTTCATCTGAAGGTGGTGCTGGCTTGAGGCGACTATATTATCCGAAAGTGGTGCTGGCTTGTTACTATTTCATCTGAAGAGAATACTGAATGTTGACAAATTTTTAAAATTCATCATGTTTGACAATTAGATACTTTAAAAATTGGAAGGATATAATTTTGAAAGTTTCCTGTGTCAAGGTGTAAAATGAAGAATTACAAGGGTCAAATATAATAGAGCTGAACAATGTGAAGATTATTTCTTCTATTATAGAAAATTGTTTTTTTTTCCCTCAGGCTAGATTTACTGTGTATACAATACTATAGTTGTTAACTCAATGATAGATGATTTCATATAATTATAGTAAAATACTGGTACCACACCCCCTTATTTTTATAAGAGATTTGATGAATTGTATTTTGTTGTTGAGTTTTTTTTTACAAGAATACTCATCATTAACATGAGCTCTATTATAGAGATTTCATACTGTATTTTATATCAGGCGTCTATAATGGAAAATCTGATCAGAGAATAAAGAGGTTTTAGACATACATGTAACTGGATCCGGATAATCCTCTTTAAAATTAAAAGAAATATATAATAACTTCACACGTACATGTTTTTAAACCTTCAATGCTAATACTGTTTGTATAAAATACAATGTATATACAATCATGTTGTTATGTAGATAATATTCAGATCTGGCATTCATATTTAGAACGTGTTGATGGCAATGATGTATAGAGTATGTTGATGGCATTGATATTTAGAACTTGTTGATGGCATTGAAGTTTAGAAATTGTTGATGGCATTGATATTTATAACATGTTGATGGCATTGATGTTTAGAACTTGTTGATGGCATTGATATTTAAAATTGTTGACAGCATTGATATTTAAAACATGTTGATGGCATTGATGTTTAGAACATGTTGATGGCATTGATGTTTAGAACATGTTGATGGCATTGATATTTAGAACATGTTAATGGCATTGATATTTAAAACTTGATGAAGGCATTGGTGTTTAGAACATGTTGATGGCATTGATGTTTAGAATATGTTGATGACATTGATGTTTAGAACATGATGATGGCATTGATATTTAAAACATGTTGATGGCATTGATATTTAATACATGTTAATGCCATTGATAGTTATCAAACCCCAATATTTAATATGGAAATGTTTTTATTTGTATATTCCAGACTGGAGTCGTTAATGTGTTTAGATAGAAGTCATATAGAAGATGAAACGTTACGCCACGCACCATGGTATCAGGCTGGAATACCAAGGTGAGTTACCTTTCTAATATTACATATAAAATGTACATGCTTAACAGGGTATCTCATTTAGAATAAGTGGGGGGGGGGGGTGTGAAAGAAATCCTACGACATCAAGTGTTGTTTAAAACACAATCCTCAAAAATCGTATGGTAGATCTATCTTATCATGGTTGGAAGTGAAATTAAATTAAATTGGGGATTAGCGTCCCACTTTTCTGCACTAGTCGAGCCAATGAAGACAGACATACACCAAGCACTGTGGTAGGAGGGTGATTTTACCATCTACTCTGTCCTTGACCACTGATCACAGGAAACAGGAGTGGAAAATACTATAGTCAACAAGCCACAGCAACTTCTTTAAATTTGAAATCTGATATGAAACAGGGGAACAACTGATATACAAGTATATTTCCTTCCCATCCAACAACCACCTCTTCCTAATATGTGGCGTACGTCATACAGTGTGCTATGAGGGAAATTTTGACTGGACAGCAGCCCTATACAACGCTTATATCTAATTCCAACTGTCAAGGGATATTTTATGTGCATGTCGATGAGATCTTGGAGAGGGAGTTTATTGTATTATGTGGCTAAGTGAGTAAGATGCTGGCTCATTAGCCTGGAGATCTCAGGTTGTCTCCCACTGGTGACCGAGAAAGTTCCTCTTTTCAGTAGTGCATGCTGGAGGGCCTGACGAAAAAATCAGGTTCCATGTACACATTGGTGTGCACGTAAAAAAAAACCCTTGATAGTTAGAATTCAATATAAGAGTAGGTGGTAGCGCTGCTCTTTGGGCAAAATGTTTCTCACAGCACACTGCATGGCATGTGCCCGTCTTCATTTTCCCAGTCGGGGCAGAACAGTAGGATTTATTGTATTAAATATAATTGTTGTATTTATAGGGAGATAGCATTAGAGATATTACAACAAGAAGAAATTGGATCTTTTATTGTTCGTGATAGTACCACGCATCCAGGATGTTTCGCTTTATCAGTTCGTGTTCCCAAGTTTGAGAACCAGAACGGCATCTCCCATTATCTTATACTGAAAACACAGAAAGGTGTTAAACTAAAGGTAAGTTGACAGCCAAATATTCATTCACTACAATAGTATGAAATTTGATTCTCTAAAAAGCAATATTAGTCCCCAAATATTCATTTAAAGCTGGTGAATATCATTTCGAGTGATTTTGAACCCCTTATTAACTACGATATTGTAATAGTTGATATTTCTAATATCAGTCCAAAAATGGTTCAATTCCGTACAGTATTTACAAAGATATGATGAATTGAAAATTCTGCTGTCTTTGCAGATCTGACCAACCACAAATTTTCACTGTCATTGAGTCAACTGACGTGGATTCGATTCCCTGGTTGTACGTGACAAGGAGTAGGGTCGTCTGTCCAACATTGTGCCTTTTCTTCGGGTCTTCTAGTTTCCTCCCACTACTAAAGGCCCCTACGCGCATGTGAATTATTGAAATAAAATTAAACCATATGTTACTCCCGAAATATCCTAGTTGTGTCAAGTGGCCATTAAACCATCTCTCTCTCTCTCTCTCTCTCTCTCTCTCTCCCTCTCTCTCTGGTTAGCAACTTTAAAAAAATGCTGTTGAAACAAACAAATGAATATTTTGTATTTGTATTTGCAGGGTTTGGATAAAGTGTGGACTAATTTAACAGCTCTTGTAACACATCATACAGTCATGCCCGAAATGTTACCGTGTACTTTACGTTTACCGCGTAATTCCACCAATCCTACGTTTAAAGACAGTGATAAAGATGATCGCGAGGACGATCCCGATTATCAAAGACTAGCAGACTTCTCCACGATGATGTCGCAACTGAAAATGTGATACATCACAATTGGACTGTGTTTTAAACCGTTGATCCAATACACGGGATGTGTTCAGCAGACGGTGACGTGTGTTTTGGGTTGTTATAAATACAAACGATAAACAGAACCACATTTTAGTCTTTCGTTTTATAAAAATGGAGAAAGGCTATTTTATTAAGCCTCACCTTCCAAACAAAACTCACCAAGCAATGTGCATGATTTTATGGGATGTTTGCACTTTTTTAGGAGGTTGTTTTCGTTGATTTATTTGCGGTGAATTCCTTCACTAGATGTAATGATGATGGGTGTGCGTTACGTTATGTATCTTATAATAAACTAGTCAATACTATCCATATATATCTATATATAAGGTGTGTTATAATGTATAACCATTATGAATATATAAAGCAATATGTAAACAACGGCCACATTGACACAGTTTGTGAACTTTTTGTTTAGTGAAAAAAGTCACCGTGATGTGTATTGGTGTGAAATGAGTTTAACGTCCTACTTTTCTGCACCAACTGGGCTATTGAAGTCAGGGCGTGTCAAGACAGTTGTTATAATTGTGTGGAAATACAGTGCTATATATTTTAATGTTTGTTAAATCGAATCGAAGACGTTCTGGAATCAAGACAAGAGATTGAAAACTGATTTGAAAATAGAAATGGCTACTGTTTGTTATTATGATGGTTTTCTGTTAATTATGTGAAGGATTATCAACTTCAGTCAGGCCTGGAAATAACGGTTTTAGATGTACCTGACAAAATGTCAGGCCCTAATGAAGTAGTACCTGACATTTTCAACTTAGTGCCGGACATGTATTAATAATATCAATAAAAAAAGACAAATCAGTGCCGGACAAAATGACAGGCACCAGAGGTTTTGTGCCTGACAAAGCCTGAATCTGTGCCTGACATTGTCTGTGACAGGTGTCTTATTTCCAGGCTTGACTTCAGTAGTAACTTATAGTTTACAGGTTCTGGGTGTCCATGTTGGATTATTTTTGGATACATTTAAAAATCCATAGTAATTAACTGAAACTTGTGAAGATATCCGATGAAATAAAACTGGTTATTTAAAAAGTTTTTGATTCCTGTGACACATCTTGGATTAATTAATTCATCAATAATTGAAACTGAATCCACATTACTGTTAGTGTCGGTAAATCTACCAATAAATTCTGCAGCTAAATCTAATAAACGTAATTTGTAGTATGTCAAAAGTAGCGTTTAAAAATTCAATTTAAAATCAAGTTCAAACATCTGAATTTTCAAATTTATGTGAAATTTCTCATTACCCGTAAAAACAACATAGTTAAAATCAAATGTAAACAATCGAATTTCAGATTTATGTAAAATTGCTGACTCTCAGTAAAACAGATATTTATTTTTTGCCAAATTTAAATTTCAAATCAAGTGTAAACATTTATATTTTCAAATGATGTAAAATTGCTGATTGACAATATATTGTCAAAATCAAGTGAAAAATTTGGAATTTTAGATTTATATAGAATTGCTTACTGTCAGTAAAATGAATATATTTCTGTCAGAATAACATTTGGATTTTCAGATTACGTAAAATTGCTGACTGACAATAATACAATAATGTATTGTCAAAATCAAGTGAAAAATTTTAAATTTATATAAAATTGCTGACTCTCAAAATAATTGTAATAACCGGTTATCAGGCATTAATCATTTAATCATAATGTAATTTATCATTGACTAGATATACATATTATATATTATCAATCAATCAATCAATCATATATCAATATATTACACAACTCAGTCTCTATATGTTTAGTAATAATCAAGTCTGGAAATAACAGCTTTAATTATACCTGACAATGTCTGACATTAATGGTAGTACCTGAGATTTTCGATTTCGTACCGTACATGTATTCATTTCTCTACGGTACCTGACAAAATGTCACAGGCTAATAAGTTAGTACCTGATATTTTTAACTTTGTGCTGGAGATGTATTAACAATATCAATAAAAAAGACAAATCAATGCTGGACAATAGTTTCTTATTGATGAATTTGATACATTAAAACAACAACAGTTTTATAAAGGGCTTTATTTTAGTTAAAATAAATCGTACAATTTCTTAGTAAATTATTAACTGAAGACTGATAGTATTTTGTGAAAACCGGGCCTGAACTTGTGCCTGACATTGTCCGTGACGGATGCCTCGTTTCCAGACTTGGTATAATCATCTTGTATCAGTGTATGTTTTAAATAAAACCAATATTTCAAGTGTTCAATACATTATTATATGTATATTTATCAATTGTCCGTTGAGAAATACAATCTCTATTTCACATTAAGATCATTAATTTGAAAATCGTGATATTATCTTTATTCAACAATCAATTGTCTCTTGAGAAAATCTCTTTCACATTAAGATCATTAATTTGAAAATCGTGATATTATCTTGATTCGAACATCAATTGTCTCTTGAGAAAATCTCTTTCACGCTAAGATCATCAATTTGAAAATCGTGATATTATCGTGATTCGACCATCAATTATCTCTTGAGAAATGAAATCTCCATTTCACGTTAAGATCATCAATTCAAACATCTTGATTTCAAATATCCGTTTTCTACTAGTCAACAGTGTGCCTACCGTAACGAAGAACGACAATGGTTTAATATACTAGTTAAGAAATGTGACCTATGAGAGTAAAATAAGTCGGAAATCACAATTCTTTTACGATATGAAAAAAAAGGGAAAAAGGCTAAAAATATTTTTTTAATGATATAACACGAAAGGTAAAAAGGTAAAGCAAATTAAATTTTTTTTATATTTTTCTTTTTTTAGCCTTTTTCGAAGTTTTTGTTCACATATCGTAAAAAATAACTTGTGACTTCCGACTCATTTTACTGTCATGGGTCACAAATTGTTAATTGTTATGAAGATTGAAGTTGAATTATTTTTTTGAGAAGTTGATTCTTTGTTACAGTACATGTACCTCATCCATTGTTATTTAGAATATTTCAAACTTTCTGCAGCGTCTTGTGTTTATTCTATGGTGATTTTATGATATATCATGGTTTTATTAATATACAAAATATACATTGTATATTACACGATTTTTTATCGCCATCACTTTGCTATCAATTCACTTCTAGACCAATCTGATTAAAACACAGATCCTATTTCGTTTTGTTTTTTTATAGTTTAAAATTTCGTTTTACTTGTCTTTACTACACTAGGATCTGGAAGAGTTGTTATATAACCAGCAGTCTGGTTGATGTGAGGGATTAGCCAATGAAATGGTCTGTTGCAGCGAGTTCTTGGGATGCGATAAACGGAACTGTGGGTATCTTACTAGTAACATCAACACTGATTGGTCAATCAAATGTCTGATGTCAGGATCAAAAAACGCTTGTATGACCCCCAACGCGACCTTCCACTACAACTGTTCAGATCTTCATTTAGTAAAGGACATAGAAAGTATAAAAAAAAAAAAAAACGAAATATAGATCTGTATTTTAATCAGATTACTTTTAGACATTGCTGCATTTTTAATTTGACCCTAAATTCTAGTCTTACACGAAGGGCCAGATTTTTAAGGAGGCAAAATGGTCACAGGGGCCACCTCCAAGATTTTTATAAAAATAATGTAATAATTATTAAATAAGTATTATTATATTTTTTTTCAAACAAACGCAGTTAATAATTCAATTTAGTTCACATTTTATTTAATTCACTTTTATGTTGAGGGACGAGAGCCGCCTGTGGTTCCCCAAGGTTTAAATCCAGCCCCTGCTTACACGATGTATAGTTTACGTTTACCATGAGTTGTAAACGTATTGCAATAAGTTTTAATTTTTATACGTGCAATCTTAACCCCTTTAAATTACGGATTTAGTTTGTAGCTTGTAATGGATTTTAGATTAAATATATGAGACCCATGATGATAGCAAAATAAGTCACAAGTTTTTGGCAAGTCTTTTATAATAAAAACAAAAATATTAAAATAGACTAAAAATATCTTTTTAATGATATAACACGAAAGGTAAAAGATTAGATTTGACGAATAAAGCAAACTAATTTTTTTATAATTTTAGCTATTTGACATTTTTGTTCAGGTATCGTAAATGACGACTTAACTTCCTACTAATTTTGCTGTGACATATAAATAATTTATTATAGTATAGTGAGGAAAAGGGAGATAACCTAGTTAGATATTCCATCAACACATTTATTTATATTAAGGACACATCAACTTGATTTTTCGTTCTTCAGGGTTTGGATAAATAGTTAGCCACTTAAATCATGTGAAAGTTGTTCTGTTAAAAATTTTGTACAGGTGATCCTGAAGACATAGCCAGTTGAATCTTGTGACAAATGTTTTGTTTAAAATTTCAAAACTTAAAGGTTTTGAGCAGAACAACCAAATACTTTTGGTGTTTAAATAAGTCACTTCCCTGAAGAAATAAGAAAGGGAATTTTGTACAGGTGATATCAAAGACCAGAAAATCAACTTTGTGTGGCCTAAATATTAGCAGTTTTCCGATCTGAATTGTCACAGATTACTCCCCTTATATTTTTGCATAAATACATGTGAATGTTTTGTTTGTTCCGGTACATGCATATTGTCAGAGTTTTAAACAAAAACTCTATAATGAAGAATTACAAGAAAAGAGTGTCAAATGCTTGTATTCACAGATTGCGGTGCTTAACGTTGAATTATCACCATGGATACCTTTCGTTCGTTCTTTTAAGATCTGAAACTTTGGTCGATAAACATTGTTTTAAATCTGACAGTCGATAAACATTGTTTTAAGTCTGACAGTTGATAAACAAGATTTAAATCTGTAGTCCCATTTATTTATATTATGTTGCATTTGTGTCTCCACTAAAAAGTTTAATTTGAGAGACGAATATTTTTTTTTTTTTCATGGAAGAGTTTGATGAGATTTATTTATTGAATGTAAAATGTCTTTTACAGTTATTTATTCAGGCAATATTCATGTAAAAACAGTTAAAACAATTATTTTTATTGGCCAGTTAGTTTTATTTTGTGTGTTAAATGTCCATTTTTGTTTTGAACACCACACAGGCGATGTTCAGTTTTCTAGAATGAATTACAAGATGTAAAACTATCACAGTATAATTTCATGTTTTTGGTTTTTTTCTATATATGAAAGTTTGTCTGTGATTTCCTCAAACTAGAAAATTGACCTAAAAATATCAGTATATTGTCTCATTTATAGCAAATAAACAGCTTTTTGAGATATATTTGTTTTATATTTTGTATGTCCCATATTTGACCAGTTATCTATTAGATGTGTTTAGGTTATTTGAATAGTGCAGGATACGACATTAAAGAAACGGCAATGAAGTCTGGAGAGAGAGAGATAAATAGAGTTTTACGTCCACTCCACACAAACTAGGTCATTTCGGGACTAACATATGGTTTAATTTTATTTCAATAATTTGCTTGCGCGTAGGGGTCTTTAGCAGTGGGAGGAAGCCGGAGCACCGGGAAAAAATACACGAGGTCAGACAGGCGACCCTACTCCTTGTCACGTACAACCGGGGATTTAAAACCACACCGGTTGACTCTATGACGGGCCTTATGATACAGCGCGCACATGCTAACCATTCGGCCATCCTACCCCCCAATGAATTCTGGGTTTCTCTCACAGTAGGGTTGTTTTATAAAACAAGACCGAAAACAAAAAAAAAATGCATCATATTCAGTAGCCTACTTCTGTGATACCCAGCTATATATACCCCCCCCCCCATTACTGGTACTCTTACTATCTTTTATATGGGGGAGAGATGGGTTTAAGGTCCACTTGACACAAACTAAACCTTATTTCAAAAATTCACTTGCGAGTAGGGGGTCTTTGGCAGTGGGAGGAAACCAGAGAAAACCCAATTCTTCGTCACATTCAAGGGGGGGGGGGGATCAAAACCAAACCACTTGGCTCAATAACAGACCTTATGATTCAATGTACTCAGGTTAAAACCATTCAACCACCCAACCCCCTTTTGTATGGGTGTATGTGAAATGAAATGGGGTTTAACATCCTACTTGAATTGTCTGCCTTCCATCTTGCACCACTAACGAGGGGAAGCCAAGCTGGAAAATCCAAGGAACTTTATCGGCTAACACCAGAATCAAACTCCAGAGCTTTTTATCACTCACTGGGCCACCATGACTCCCTCAGTAGAACCACATCAAATATACATAAAAAAGATAGAAATATGGGGTTTAATGTCCACCAAACTAGGTCAATTTGGAACTAACGCATGGTTCAATTTTATTTCAATAATTTGCTTGTGCGTAGGGATTTTTAGCCATGGGAGGAAACCAGAGGACCAGGAGAAAATCAACAAGGTTGCCAGTTGACCCTACTCCTTGTCATGTACCAGCAGGGATTCAAAAGTATGCCACTTGACTCAATGACAGACCTCATGATTTCATGTGCACGTGTTAAACTATTCGTTCACCCAACCCCCAGTATAAACTTGAGGGTAACCAGCAAATATTTCTGTTTTTATGTTCTTCAATGGGGTTGTTTCATAATACAAGCAAAACACTGTCCACTTCAATATCCTACTACTGAAATATTACCAGGACATCTAGCTGGGGAAGAAAGACTTGAAGAGCCCCGGGGAAGAACAATCTAAGTCACTCTTTCAACGAACCCCAGTTAATGGTGCCATCTGGTAGCAAATTGTATAAGCTTTCTGTGGAACAATTAATTTCAGTTAATAAAGATCAGTCACATCAAACCAAGGCTCTTCTGAAATGGCCTCCCGGACAAATGACCTTAATTTGTCTGAAAGGTGGAAGTCAGTTGTTGTACTGTTAATTATGATTCGTATTAAACATCATTTTGAAGTTGTAATTAAACCCACTCGTTGTTCTGTTCGCGTCAAGCATTCTCGTCCAAAAGACAAAAATTTGACTTAGATCATCTTCCCCTGGACTCTTCTCTTACATAAAATGAGAATATCCCAGAATTCCAATAAGAAAAACCTTATATCATGTTTTCTTAAGGAAAAAAAAATACCCTGGAAGAATAACTCGTTCCAGGTTTAAAGAAAAACTTTCCGAAGAATAAACCCCAAATTCCTCTGTATATATCCAAAGCAGCCCCCAACCTTCAGACTGCAAGTTATTCCGGGCATAGAATATATCCTCAAAGATCAAAGAGATTTACTGTTATAGGTTTCTAAAGTACTCCCATAATATCACTATGTCACCCTACTTTCCATAGCCATAGGTCTTGACCGGCATAATACGGCCCATGTGGAACCCATGCCCCACTACTTAGACCTAACATTTCATAGTTGATCTGCCTCAGCTACTGTTCTTTTTAATTAGTGTTTAACGTCTGCTTCCACCGAAGGTGATATCGCAGACAAGTCTTATTTTTTATTTTTATTATCTTAGCCCAGGCGCAGGGCGTCTTTCCTGTGGGAGGAAACCGGAGTACCCCACGAGGTTGAGAAGGCCCCCCTGAGCTACTGGTACTCTTACTGTCTTTTATATGGAGAGAGAAACAGGGTTTTATGTTCACTTGCCACAAACTATGACATTTAGGGACTTACATATGATTCAATTGGATTTCATTCCAGAGAAATCCCACTACATGTAGGTTGAACAGGCGACCCTACTTTTTGTCACGAACAAGCGGGGAAATCGAAACCATGCCACTTGAATCAATTACAGACCTTATGATCCAATGCACATGCATTGACCCATTGACCACCCAACTCCCCCTTTTATACAGTGTGCTATGAGGGTAATTTTGCCTGGACAGTGGCACTTCAGAGTAGTCTTATTTCAAATTCTTACAGGACCTGAAATGAAATGAAATGGGGTTTAACGTCCTACTGTTCGGCTCCTATACTGGGCTAATGAAGACAGGCATATGCTATACAGTGTGCTATGAGGGAAATTTTGCCCGACAGTGGCACTACGGCCTACTTTTATATCGAATTACAACTGTCAAGGGATCTTTAACGGGCACGCCAATATGTACACAGGGCCTCGGTTTTTCGTCCCATCCGAACGACTAGACAGCTGTAATTGTCATGCCCTCGGTCCTGCATCACTGACAATGGGGAACCACGCCGGAAAATCTTGATGAACCTTCTCGGCCAATGCAGGGATTGAACACACAACCTCCAGGCTAGCGAGCCAGCGTCTTACCCGGTTAGCCATCGTGATCCCTAACTAAATAAAAAGCAACACATTCATAAACCACAAACATACATAACTGTTTTTTTTTTATTTCTTGATAAAATAAAAGTAACATGAGGACAGAAATAATGGTAATATACAGTGTACATGTCACATGTTAATTTCAAAACAAGAACCTTTTACAATTATAGTTTATCGTAGCTCTAAATATTACAAGTATGAAATGAAATAAAATATGAATGAAAAACAGCTGCAGGATTGTGAAATTAGTTGTATAATTTGAATGAACAATTAGATGTATAATATGAAA